TTTCATGATGCTAGGATCAATATAACTGAAGTTGTAAAATTTGAAGTTGTAAAATCTAGTACCTAAAATAAATCTTGTGAATAATTTTATCATTTATAAGTAGTAGACTTTATAGGAGAAACTCTGAGAGACAGTGATCAAAAAATGAAAGACAATAATATCACAACTTCACAAACAGAATGATTACCGAGAGATTCCCTGAGGCAGTAAACGTATGTGTATACTTCTTTGTGTGTACATGTACGTACATGTCTGTGTGTGTACATACACGAGTACATGTAAGTATAGGTCTTCAACACTCAAGGCAGGAATGGAATGAGTAAAAGAATAGGTCCTTAAGTCTTATTCTTCACTTAATTTTTTGGTCTTGATGAAGGATGCTCAGTTTTAAAGACAAAATACTACTTCACCTGATTAAATCCTTGCCAAATGTAGCTATGGGACTAAAGATGAGAATATTTTGCAATCAGAAACTGAATTTTTTAAAGGAAGAAAGATAATGATCCCAGCTTGCTCTAAAGACCACTAGCCAATAAGGTAGTCACTAATCACATTTAGCTATTGAACACTGAAGTGTGGCTAATGCAACCAAATCATTTTAAAATTTAACTTACTTTCAACTAATTTTATTTAAATTTCAACAGTGGCTAGAGGCTACTATATTGCACAGAACAGCTCTAAAGTTACATAAAAGTGTGGGATGTAAAATTTTAGTTACTGATTATTTAATAAGTGAGAAAGGGTAATCCTCAGTCACTGACTCTAGTGTGACAGGTCAAAAATATGTTTTAATTAACAAAAATTATAGATATTTATGGTGTACAAAATGTTTTGAAATACACATACATTGTGGAATGGCAAAAAAATTTTAAGTTTCCCCAACTGATAAAGGAGTTGGCTCTGAGGATTCAAGTCTACACTTGCAGCAGCAGTAAAGTTACTAGAATGTATTACTTATATTTAAAGAGATCACAGCAATTAGAAAAGGGGATGTTTGGTGGGTGTGGTGGTACACTCCTAAAATCCCAGCTACTTGGGAGGCTGAGACAGGAGGAAACCAAGTTCAAGGCCAGCCTAGGAATTTATCTAGACCTTGTCTCAAAGTAAAAACAACAACAACAACAACAAAAACCCAAAGGAACTGGGGAGAGGTAGTTAGTTGTAGAGTGCTTGAGACTATGGATTCAATATCTAGTACCACAAGAAAGAAAGAAGGAAGGAAAACAGGGGCATGTTTGTTATGTTAAAACTTAGAAATGTTATTTTCTGGAAACTTCTAAAAATGAATTTAAACACTAGCTAGAAGAGGTTCATCATGAGAGAAAACCAAAAGACTGAACTAGCATTAATTTGGATTAGGTTTGGGTGCACTGGGCACTATAGAGAAAGAAACACAGATTAATTGATGGAACCAAAATCTCTACTTATCAGTATGAATGACTCTAGCACCTCAAACAAATCATTTCTGTACAGCTAGAATATGATCAAGTCTGTGTACTGACACATATTTCCACAGTCATTACACTACTACTTCTGAGTTTAGAAACAGCAAAGTTCAAAAAGTCAAACAACTAAAAGGCCTTTCAGAGACAATTCATTCCCATAACACTTCCCTATCTAGTAATAAGATTTTTCTCCTTTAGAAAGATACTAGATGTGAAAGTGAGCAATGGCAATGGAAGTGTCTTCAGAATGTGATCAGGAGAGAATGTTTGAACCACTACTGTTTAAACACAAGGAGATCTGAAACTGAGATTTTTCTTTTACTATTGAAAAGTATAGTGTGGATAGGAGATTGGAAGGACTAATAAAATCAGTTTTTTTATAGATACAAAAACATTGTGTAAGTGTGGAAAGACAGAAGCAAGGGAAAGTATGCAGTACACATTAACAAAACTTAAACAGACATAAAACTTGAACAAGAGAGACTAAAAAGGAAGTAATGAGCAATGTAACTCATCATTCCAATAGTGGTATAAATTTAAAAGACACACAAGATTCATATATATTCGTACAAATGGAGATACAGAGATTTCCTCAGATGCATCTGGGAATCTAATTTAGGTATCTGGGAACAACTTAATCAGAGATGGGATGCTGAGCTAAATAAACACTTATCCTGCCCAATTCACTCTCCCACGCTATGACCATCCTGAGTATTCTTTTGTTGCAGGAGCCTGGAAATTGTGTTAATTTTTAAAAATCAAAATATTAAACCAGGGTATAGTTTCTGACAGATGATGATTTTCAGAAGAGACTCCAATACAATATTAAAGACTTAGAATCAGGTAAGCTTAGGAATATTTAGAAAGTTAATCATTTGATTTAAAACTAGTTATGAACTACAACTTTAAAAGCATGTTCAAGGATACCATAAAGATAAATCATCTAATGATATAAAAACCTTTGAAATCAGATTCTCTAAAAATAATAACTTTTTACAAAAATAAATAGCAATGTTGCCAAATTCATGTAATAAAAGTCAAAATTGTCACTGCTAGTCTCAAAAGATTCAGTGAAGTTACATGAAAAATGTCTTTTTGTCTGCTTTTAAGAGTGAATATAAAAGATAGAAAATTTATAAGCCTTACCTTTACAAAAATACTGGTAGGTATAAAACGCCTGAGCAGCTGATTTGTGAAATTAGGAAATCTAAGCAAGTTGATGTTGAGAGATGGCAGTTGCTGATATCCGGCCATTAGAGGGTAGAAATTATATAACATTTCCTGTTCAGTTCCAGGTAGAATACGTAATCGAATCTAATCACAAAAAGTTACAAAAAAATAATCAAGAACACATACTTGCAATATATTTACATTGTTACTCTTCGATTATTTACAAAAGTTGAACACTTAAATCCTTCTGGGTAAAACATTTACTCCCTCTTCTATTCTATCTTCCAGATAGATTCCCAAATATAGGATGAATTAATATGCAGTTAGAACAAGGTGGATAGGAAATCATGTGCATGACTTCTCAGTTCCTACTAAGATTTAAAGGTAACTTATACCTGCTCAAGAATAAGAATAGTAGTAGGTTACTATTTTATGTCTTGGATCATATAGATTTTGTTGTAGAATAATTTGTTAGAAAGTGTCTATTTGTAAATACTATGTTAACATAACATAAATAGCTACTTCTCGGATTTTCTTAAGGGATTTTACCATTTAAAATGTATTAAAATAAATAATTTATTAAAATAAATAATTTCAGGGGAAAAAACAGTGTTTGAAAAACTTTAACAATACTTTAGAAAAAAATACAAACTTATTGTTATCTTCATATTTCCTAACCACTTATAAGTAAATACCTGGAAAATCAAAATACCAGGATAATCAAGAAAAGTTTATTCATTTGTAAATGAGAAATGAGTACATCTATATGTCAGGGATAATATATGCATAGGTATTCCAAAGTAATATAGCTGGTATATTTAGTATTACATGTCAAAAATTTAAAATAGTACATGGATACATATCATATTTCATACATAAATCTATTTCTCACTGGACAACAAACATAGCACCCAGAATAGGCTGAGCAAAGCTGATTAGTTAGGGCAGATGCTTCTAGGTGTTAAAACATGTTTGTCCTTCCAATTATGCCCTTATTAATAAAAAGTATTAAATGACACCTGAGGAGTATCTGTGTTTTCCCTCAGACAGCGAAGGATAGCATTTTCACTGGAGTATAATTTTGCCTAAGTGTCATTTTAAAACCTAATAAACTTTTCCCAATGACTTGCCTAAACAAATCAAATAACTTAAATAATTTATTTCTAAGTATAGATACAAAATTGTATCTACACATACTAAAGGTAAGTAAATTCTATGCAAGATCAAAATTTCTACAAAAATTCACTGATAGTTAAGATAAGCCGGCTTTTAATATAGTCATGCTTCTAGGCATCAATTTAAGTTTCTTTCTCTCTCTCTTTTTAACACACACACACACACACACACACACACACCACACACACACACACACTCATAAGTAAGAGATTTAAATTTTTCAGAAATTCTAACATAATATATTCCAAGGATCCGTGAATTTTTGTTCCTAAGAAGTAAGATCTTGATCTTAATGATGTAAAAAGGTAACATAACTTTGTAAGAAGTTAAACTTAATCTTTAATAGTGCTTAAAAAGTCACTACTGTCAAAACAATAGGAGCCACGGTCAGTCTAAATTGGTTCATTTATAAAAATTAAATGTCCAGGGGTTGGGGTTGTAGCTCAGTGGTAGAGCACTTGCCTTGCATGCGTGGGGCACTGAGTTCGATCCTCAGCACCCATAAAACAAAGACACTGTGTCCACCTATAACTAAAAAATAAATATTTTTTTAAAAAATTAAATGTCCAGTTCTCCATTTCCTGACCATACTTTTATGCCTACATAAGCAATACCATGAAAGATGATCTATACCTGTTTGAGACCTGAGAACATGAAGGCATCACTGGGCTCCACAGAAATTTCCACATCTTGAACTAAATTAGTCTTATTTTGCAGGTGATACTTGACGGGTAAAGATTCTCTGACACGTCCAAATGATGGCAAATCTATAAAGAAAGATGACATGTTTCTCTTGGTTAAAAAAAAGAGGGCTCATCATTAATGAGTTCTTTTGTAAATGAATCTCATCCTGAAGACACAGTATTATTTAAATGAATGATATTACTGTGTTCATGCAAGGGAAGAAAATTCCTTGACTGGATAATAGCTATAGGATGAAATAGGCTAAGAATGAGTCTTCTAAAAATGATCAACTTAGAAAGATTTTGGCCATCAGGAACTCAATTACAATTTATGACTAATTTAAAAAATCTACAAATGATTTCCCAAAAATCATTCCCATGATTCCTCAACCAGAATAAGCAAAAGTTCTGTTTTAGTGAAAGTATTAAGCAAACTTCCATTCATCTGTGTACACACACATACACACACACACATAGAGAATTGAGTGTGTTTTATAGTTCTGCCATTTTATTTTATCTGGGATACAAAAATATGAAATGCTTTCTGAAATTGTATGTTATCCTTGCACAGAGGCCATGCTAATTTTCTCGGTATCATCCCAATATTACTGTCTGTGCTGTTGAAGCAATACTATATGATGTTTTTTCAAAGTTATTATAGACATCAATCAGGGTAATCAGGTAGTTGATAAAGGGAAGTTTCACTTGATAAATGTATTCCAATAAAGAAGAAAGGCATACTAGACAGATACCACTTGCCTCCCGATAGAGCACAAACCATTAACTATGACACAGTCTTGCCAAAACTTGAGTCTGAGTCTGACCAAGCCTATGAACGATCAATTTATAGGGAGAGAGAAATATTAAAAATGGTACCATGCAAGCAGCAAAATCCAGGCTATGGAGAAAAGAATAAATGATATGGTTTCTTTGACAAATAAGTAGCAAGGAAGAGGGAGAGAAAGTGAAAGAGCATGGTGGTAGTGGAGAAAGCAGCACTGGAAGAGAGGTAATGGAGGGGTTAACAGTGGCAGGGTGGAGTAGCGCAGGAAAGAGGGAGTCAGCATACCTAAAGACTGAGATGGATAGGATGAAACTTATTCATAATTTGAAGTACACTAAACTTAAACTAGAAAACATTCAAGGTTAATTAAGAACATTTCAACACTGGAATTTCAGAATATTCATATAATCAGAATTTATTCCTGATTTTTAAAGTCATAATAATGGTATTATGATTATGTTGAGGAAAATAGCCATTACTTTTAAAGAGGTAAACTAAAATATTTGCATAAGAAATGACATCAAGGGTTTTTCTTTTTCTTTTTTTTCCAAAATAATAGGGATGAGAAGAGCATGCAGGGCAGAAATGAAATAAGATTGGCCATAATCCACTTATAAACATCAGAAACTTTTCATAATACAAAGTTTAAAAACCTTAGAAGCTAAAAATACATATTATTACTGAATCCTTTTTATCAAGCAAAATTTGAATTCCTGCTACCTGCATTCACATGGAGAGGGATATTTTCTACAATCACATGTGGCAGCGTGATGACTGTACTGATGACAGGGATGTTCTCCATGGCTGAAGTCCTACGGCAGAAAAGGCCATCTTTTAAACTCACATTTTATGTAGGATGTTAATAAATCAAATGCAGGGAACATGTGTATTCACCAACTAGTATCAAAGGAAATATATTTATCCATTCCCAAAACTTGACTAATGGAAGCAGTTTTGTAAAGTAAGAGCTTTCAGAATCTCATTTTATTTTGGATATTTCTGATGAATAAAGGATATAATCCATGGCTGCTGCTGCTGCTAATAGAAGACAACCCAGGAGTTGTATCAGATTGGCAATCATGAAGCACATCATTTGATTCAGTGATTTTGGGAGTAGGACTTTCTCAATGCAGGAAGTAGAATGGTGATTTACATTATGACACCAACTCCTTATTTCATTAAGGATGGATAGTTCACTGATGGGCCTCAGTCCACTTAAAGGGCACTGTTATAACTCACTAAAAGTACATAGTGGAAACTGAAAAATTAAAACGTATTTTACTACCAGTCAAAAAAATGGTGTTCTAACATTTACATAGGAGTACTTATGTATAAAGTATATATGTATAAAGTAACATTATAAAAATGTTCAATATTTCCCCCATGTTATGGTTAAAAATGATAAACTACAGGGGTGGCTGGCAGCTATGTGAATGCCAAAGAAATATGAAGAGCTATTTAGAGATGGAGCAGTTCATACTACACTACTACACAGCAAAAAGCAAGACGTAAAGCATCTAATCCTTCGTCAATAATAAATATATCTATGGTATGATGGTAGCATGACAAAATAATTAAGCAGTGCTTCATTTGTTTTGTTTTTGGTACTGGGGATTGAACCCAGTGGTGCTTAACAACTGAGCCACAATCTCAACCCTTTTTATTTTTTATTTCAAGACAAGGTCTCACTAAGTTGCTTAGGGCCTCACTAAATTGCTGAGGCTGGCCTTCAACTTGCAATCTTCCTGCCTTAGCCTCCAAAGCTGCTGGGATTATAGTCACAGTCATGTGCCACCATGCCTTGCTTAAACAGTACTTCTAAAATGATGTTTTAATTCCTATCAACATGTAAATTAAATATTAATATGATAAATTCAGAATTAGAAGAAAGAAAAGACAAGTTGGATTTGTTTTTTATTTCTTAGTAAAACCACATTTTTCCATTCTTATTTTTAAAAAGTTCAGCTTTAAGTTTTAATATGGTAAATACTGACACATATAACACATAAATAAAAGTTCTTTAGAATTCTCAATGATTTTTCAAAGTGTAAAAGTTTCCTGACACCACAGAGCTTGACAACTACTAGCCTATAGTTTTCTTTATATCTTCTGCCTTTGTCAGGCTTTGGTATCACAGCTCTTCATGAGAAGAACCATTGGAGAATTTCTTGTTCTCTGCTAACTTGTAACATGAGAATAATAAATAATAAAACCATGGGATCACATCTAATAAATGTATTTTTGAAGGCTTGAAGGTTACTTTTTAAATTTTCTTCATAACACTGAGTTTTTAGGGGTAAAAATTTCTTCTCAGTGAATTTTGGTAACTCATAATAATCTTTTTGTGATCGCCATACCATTCATATCTTCCTACTCATTATTCTGAATTGTATAAAATATTCCCTTTAAAATGATTTAAATAATAAATTATATTACATTTTTAAAAATATGAAAATAATTAAGGCATACTAAGAGAATAACACATGAAATATCATTTAGCTGTCTCCCAGACTAAGAAAGAATAAAATGATACAATTGAGCCTACCTACATGGTTCTTCCTACTTGTCCATCTTTCCCTCTAGAGAAAATCACTATTCTGAATTTAGGGCTGGGACGTAACTCAGCATTTGTGAGGCTCTGGGTTCAGTCCCCAGTACCAAAGAAAACAAAACAAAAGCAAAAAACCACTATCCTAAATTTGGCATTTTGGTATCCATCATTCCCATGTATTTCTTTATACTCTTTCCAATTATACACAAAGTCCTAAGAAACATGTAGTATGTTTCATGCTTTTCAATGTTATATAAATACAATTTGTTCATATTCTCATCTGCAGCTTGCTACGTTCATTTTACATTATGATATTGACAGGTGCACCTCTGGTTCATTCACTTTCACTTGTAAGTAGTATTTTACTGCAAAAATGTACCCCAATTTGTCCACTTCCCTGTTGATGAGCATTTAGTTTTTCAAACTTTTTAACTATTATAATCAGTGCTGCTATGAACATTCTTCTCCATATGTCCTCTGGGTACAGATCTTTCCTATGTCTGCATCATTACAGATATCTTCAACTTGATCTAGCAGTGCCTATTAGATTTCTAAATCTATTGTTCTAGTATATTCCACATCTTTAGTAAACTTGGTATTGTTAACCCTTTTCCTTTTTTTCAAGCTAGTGGGATATGAATCTCAAAAGCATGCTTTGAATTTGTCATTCCCCAATTACTAGGAAGGTTGAGCTTCTCTCCATATGTATGTTTATTGGCTATGTGGTTTCCTCTACTTAAACTGCCTCCTCAAGTATTTTGTTCACCTTCCTGACAGATTACCTATCTTTTTTAATATGACTTATGGAAGTTCTTGATATGAACTCTAATCCTTGTCAGTTAAACTTGTTGCAAACATGTTTTCCCAGTTTGTACTTTGTCTATTCACTCATGGTATTTTTAGAGAAATGAAAATTTAAATTTTTTTTTTACCATACCATTTATTTTTATTCTTTTAGTCATACATGACAGCAGAATGTATTTTGACATATAATACATACATGGAATGTAAATACATCAATCATATTGTCTATTCTATTCTGCTGCCCTTCCTATCCCCCCTACTCCTCCCCTCCTCTCCCATCCTTTCTCTCTATCCAATCTAATGTGACACACTTTTTATTTTCTTTTTCTCATCACAACATCATATATGTATTCTGTATAACAATGAGGTTCTCCTTCCATCTTCCGTGCAACTCCCCTTCTCCCTCTTTTTCCCTCCCACCTCTCTTCCCTATTTAGTGGTAGTCTTCTTCTCATGCTCTTCCTCCCTATCTCATTTTGAGACACCTATAGCACAAGAGTTAAAACCAAGAATCAACAAATGGGACGAATTCAAACTAAAAAGTTTTTTCTCAGCAAGAGAAATAATATGTGAGGTGAATAGGGAGCCTACATCCTGGGAACAAATTTTTACCCCTCAAACATCTATAGAGCTCTAATCTCTAGAGTATACAAAGAACTCAAAAAGTTAAACAACAAAAAACCAAATAACCCAATCAACAAATGGGCCAAGAACTTGAACAGAAACTTCTCAGAAGAGGATATACAATCAATCAACAAATACATGAAAAAATGCTCACCATCTCTAGCAATCAGAGAAATGCAAATTAAAACTACTCTAAGATACCATCTCACTCCAATAAGAATGGCAGCCATTATGAAGTCAAACAACAATAAGTGCTTTCGAGGATGTGGGGAAAAAGGTACACTCATACATTGCTGGTGGGACTGCAAATTGGTGCAGCCAATTTGGAAAGCAGTATGGAGATTCCTTGGAAAGCTGGGAATGGAACCACACCATTTGACCCAGCTATTCCCCTTCTTGGACTATACCCAAAAGACCTAAAAAGAGCATACTACAGGGACACAGCCACATCAATGTTTATAGCAGCACAATTCACAATAGCTAGATTGTGGAACCAACCTAGATGCCCTTCAATAGATAAATGGATTAAAAAAATGTGGCATTTATATACTATGGAATATTACTCAGCACTAAAAAATAACAATATCATGGCATTTGCAGGCAAATGGATGGCATTAGAGCAGATTATGCTAAGTGAAGTTAGCCAATCCCTAAAAAAAAAAAAAAAAAATGCCGAATGTCTTCTCTGAAAATTTAATTTTAATCAATCAAATTAATTAATCAATTTTAGAGATCTTTAAGACCTAATCCATGTCATAAAGCAATTCTCTTATGCTTTCTGTTCAAAGTAATAAAGTTTTATCATTTACAATAAGATCTTTAATATACCTAGAATGAATTTTTATATTTAGTATACAGTTTAATTC